AGTGCAGCTTATTTAAAAAAGATGACCCACAAAAAATATGAAGCTTCTGTAGCTATAGCTAAAGCTAAATTTTGTCAAAGATTAACAATATTTGTCTCAGATTGGACATTTGGACTGAAGCAATGAACGAGCGAGGTTTCTTAGGTGGGACATGTAATTTCCTTCAAAATAGTCAAATGCATATGCTCTATCTAGCTATTCGTACGCTCAATGAAATATTTGCCCTGTTTGGCTCACACGAAAAAAAAAATCACATTGTTGAAGAGGCTATAAAATGTTAAAATGATCAAGTGTGAAAATAGCTATATCTAAGGTTCGTGAAATTTTGCGTTGAATAAAAAAGATACGTATTAATGGTTCTGAATAGTCAGTTTTAAAACTTATTGCCGATATCAAAACAATATGGAACTGAATAATATCTTTGAAAAGTGACCCATTGGGAGACATGCAAACGGTATTTCCTAACTTTTATAAGTGAATATCTATTTCCTAAAGCTGGTGCTGCTATTTCGCACAATAGAAAAAGCTTGTCCCCTAAATATTTGCAGCAACTGATTTTTTGGGAAACCTTCAGAAAGAATATTTTTTGTTTACCTGATGGAATAAATGCATTAAAATATATTCCATAAATTGTATTACAATCTCTTATTTAAGCGGCCTTTTTACAGTTAAAATTCACGATAACAGTTAATTTCGGTCTAGAAAAACTCATCGAAAATGTATACTTAAAATGTGTTTATGACGATTACACGTAGAGTCACTCAATATCGAGTAAGTCAATAAAATTGTGAGCAGGTTATTGTTTCGATACTTTCAGAATACTGATATCAGCAGTATTGCAAGGCGATTTGGTTACTACTCATTTGAGTAAGTATCGATACTTTCAGAATACTCATATGAGTAGTATTGCAAGATGATTCAGTTACTACTCATTTGAGTAAGTATCGATACTTTCTCAGTATTGTATCGTCCCTACTCACCCGTCATGTACTTACACTGTGTAGGACATTTAATTTGAGCAATAATACAAAAAATCATGGGGTAATAAGCGTACAAAATTTTGAAACAATTGATAAACCAACAAAAAAGTCATTAAAAAAAAAACTTTAATGAATGCAACTTTAACGCCCTGTAGATCCGTTCTTATTGCCTTTTCAAAAAAGAATTGTGGAAACTTGTCACACTCATTTTTGCTGGACATTTGCCTCGTTAAGGGTTGGTCGCACCATTTCCGGACACCCTGTATATTATGGTATTTCGAGACGGAAAATTAAAATGCATTTTGTCGATTGTAGGAACTGCAAAATATATTTTGTTTCATAAAATATGGCATAACATACCTATGTACCGTAAATAATAAATAGAACATGTTCATGTACGTACAATATATATGGCAAGAGAGAGAACCGGAATAAATACCTTTATATCTGTAGAATTGTATATAAATGAGCGTTTGGTTAAAAACAGAAACTATTTACAGAAGTTGAGAAGGCGTTATTTTAAAATGTTTTATCTAGTACAAAAATAATATTATAATTCACATTTATATCAACATTGACAGACAAACCATTTCATTCTAAATAGCACGTCTAGTTTTATTCCTTATATACAGTTATAAAAATAGAAAAATATTAATTAATCAAAGGTCACCTAAGGAAAATATGACAAAGTAATACCACGTAAAAAATATTATTCATGATCATAAGGTTTGATAGACGAATCAGTTGAAGCAATCCACTAAGGATATTTATAGCGCCTGGTTACCAGTTACGACAAACAAAGTGTTTAGGAAGAATACTGATAATAATGGAATTAGTTTATCTAGGAAAATTGTCGAAGTCACTTTAGTTGGATAATAAATTTCTCACTGCAGGAATGACCAAAAAAGGAAAATTGATAACGCGCATCGCTCTGCTTGTACAGGGTGGTCTCAATTGAACACATCGAATAGGTTCGATTTAAGGACATCTTCCAATTTTAACCCACTCGAATTGCTCTTAGGTGGTGGTTACAGAACATATAAAAGTCCAAACTGCTTAATGTAGTCAAGAATCATGTTTTTTTCTGTTAAATCAGCCAATTGTGACCACCATGTATAAAAGGGGTATAATAGGAGCGATTCTTCGCACTCACTATCACACAATTCTAACACAATTGCTGAATTAATCTAATCTATTGACAGGAGTAACACGACGCTGTTGCACCGTTTTACTTGAAAATATTTTATTTACCTTATAAGTTACTATCACTATGGGATCTACCGTGCCAAGTATTTACCTAGGGGGCAGCCGTATCTACAGGGTGTTTCTTGATAACATTTGAATGTTCAAGGAGGCGATACTTGGGCATGTTTTGATAAAACAAAACATGCTAAAGGCCAAGAGACAGTAAAGAATAACCTCCTTGAATATTAAAATTTGATTAAGTAACACCCTGTATCGGTACGCCAAAAGACTGTTTTTTGAGAGGAAAATTTGTTTTTTCATATGTATACTGTGGTTTGTCTTCATGTTGAAATCATCTGATCAATAGGTACGCTTAACAATTCATTCATGTTATGAAAATGCCCCGATTGTGATACAAGGGGCTAATTAATTGACTTTCTAATAAATATTAAGGAATGAGGAAGAGGAAGAATTATGAGCTTCCAAAAATACATCAGTCCTGATATCAGTTTTCCAACTTAGTCCTTATTCCCTAGAAATTTGCTGTGTCGTATTGTGATATACTTGCTGTTAGACTACGGCAATGGACTGTTTGCATTTAGAAATGGAAAGTGCGGGTTTTGAAACCTTGAGTCCTTAACGATGAAAATTCACGCCGTATTTTGCTTCAACACCTATTTTGGATTAATCTGTTGAATGAGTTCAAGTGCAAGTATTGAGAAAATACTGGAAGAACGGTGTCGTAGCGACAGTATCCTAATTAGGAAACAAATTTAAATGGACATAGTAAAGAAACTAATGCACTTTTATTTGGAATTCCCTCGTTTCATCCAATTGATTAAAGGAAATTGTAATGGAAGATATGGGAGCTAGTTATTACCTAATCCCTTTAGACCCCGTAATGATTAGTCAACCCAACTGTATACTGACTCGTCAAACCAACGGAAAACTTTTTAGGTAACATTTTTACGCAACCAAGTATAAATGTCTTCTTTGTTCTTGTTGAGCCAGTTGATGTTCAATTGAATAATCTCCAGACTTTGCTCTAAAGCCCTTGAGGCTGATTCAACGTTCATTCCATTAAAATATGTAGTAACCTGAAAAATAGAGAAACACTTTAATAATTGCGCAACACGACTCGAGTTCAATTGCTACCTCGTAATAATCATAAGGGGTAGACAAATGTGCGGTAACTGCTGATATGAGACTACCCATCATGGAAGTAGAATTTCCGAAGAGCGAATGCATTGTTGGCCAATATGCCTTAAGGTGCCTCCAAGCTAAAAGTTTTCCTTCGGGATTAGCAGCCACCACTGCCAACACTACTTTCACATCTTCAGGCCTAATCGTATTTTTATCTAACGTTTCTATGAGATATCTGAAATAATATTGCGGTTCAATTAGATGCTAATTATATACCGATAAATGGAGATTCACGTTTTAGTCTGGAAAGTCCTGATCGAACTTAAAAAAGCAAGTTCAAAAATTTGTGTCGAATTTTTTCTCTTGCAGTTTTTCAGATATTTACCTGAAATTTAGCTCCTCAAGCTCCGTATGTTTACATGACTTTCTATAATTATTTTAGCATCTAGAATCGCCCTTAAATATTTCGTAACGCATTTTTCAAACACCCTGTATAGCATGATTTAATGATTTCTGTTTTAAGCAGCTTCGAAATTTTATCAATAATTTTGAAATTCAGTGGCGCACCACAAAATGTTCGGGGAATTGAAACGGGGCCACAGAAAACATCTCTCTTGATGCATCCTTGATTACGTTACTTACTTACGTTCCAAATTCAAAATAAAAATCTAAAAAACTGCCCAATAAAATTGCGAATTTCCAGACTCAGAATCTCGGAACTGAAGCGTTTCAGGACATATTTATGTGAATTTTTCCACTTATTTTGATTTATTTTCCTGACTGCGTGTAATTGTTATTATATTTTTTATTTCCTGGGTTTCAATCAAAATGTGAAATTAAAATTTTCATATCGTCTATTTCATATTACGTTTCGGCGAGACAACAGCGCCATCATCAGATTAAATTTCAAAACAAACCCATAATTGGGAAACATTTGATACCTTATAGGCTTGAAAACTTCATATTTGTTTGAATTCAAACAAATACGAATATCAACGAAAATCATATCATTTTCATGTTGTTAACACCCTGTACAATGATAATTGATAATGTACAATTGAAATTTTGGTTCAATAGAATTTTTAATGGATCTGTGGTGATTGGAAAGACGTATTTTTTTGTATCTTTAGCTGCTTTTTTTTGCTTCTATAATTAATTTTTAGATGCCATGTTTTTTAACAAAATTTTACTAAAATGGCGATAATCTGCCAACGCCAAGTAAGAAAAAAATAAGTTACGGTGCATATGCAGCGTTTCAAGCTACGTTTCATGAGCTAAGGAAAAATGGGTAGTTCTATTTAAAAAAAAATACACTTTGATCTTGCCTCGCTTTTCTGAGACACTCTGTATCATATAAGATATTTTTAAAGTGTGCGCGCTTTGTGTGTCAACAACTTTTATATGAAACTATTTTTCGACAGTTCAGCACCAACGGAAATAATGGAGTCTCGCACTAAAAAACCACCCTGTAAGTTACCTCTTTCATGTCTCTCTCTGTGCTTTTGTGTGCGAGATACATGGTGGCAAAAAATAATTTCTTTCTATTTTTTTTGCAAATATTGGTAAAAAACACAAATAAATTACATTTTTACACTCTGTATCTCCAATACGAAAGCACACAAGGAAAAATGTAAAAAAAAGGGTCTATTTTTTCAAGAAAAATTTACAGTTTTCCTTTGTGGGCCTTTGTGTATTTAGGAACATTGCAACCAAAGCAAAGGGAAACAAGGGAATCCGGATTTTTTATATGTGAAAAAGCTCTATTTCCTTCACTTCCGTATCTCCTCCTTCAACTTCAGTGATTTCCAAAGTGCGATTTTTCAGTGAAACATGGACATACATGTCTCCAAGAAAATATGTTATTTCCTAATTAAAAACCGTGGATTTCCATCAATTAAGACTCATACCTTTGTAATAGCCATGGATCGCCCCTTGGTTGCCCCAGAGCTTTTAGTAGTAATATTCGTTCATTTGAATTAGACGTGCTGTTGTAAGCATTCCAGCAAAATTGCCATTCCGCCATTCCGCCGAACTTTATTCCAGCCGAGTACACAACTTCCTTCAAGTTGGAATCCAAGGTCTCATTATGCAGCATCCATTTTTGGAATAAAACTTTCGCCTCAGTAATCGTCTCGTTGAGTTCGCAAAGAACAGCGGCCGATAAAACTTTTGCACGCAGCAGACTAAAAACTCAAAAACATTATTCATCGCTCATCACTTGCTCGGGTTTATGACGCACCCTTTTACGTGATTCTTTGAGTTTTTCCATCCGACATACTTAGTTATGGGTCTTAATAGATTCCGCATGTAGTTCAGGAAGAGTTTGTAGGGCAGCGACTCAGACATTCTTCTGGCCCAGTTTTGGAAATGCTCTATCGCTGTGGCCCATGGCACATAATCCCGTTCTTTAATCAAATATGTTGAGAGCTCAAGCGGTATTGTTGCGTTTAACAGTCCGGCTCTAAAATGATTGGGAAAGGAGGATTGAGGACTTTTATTGGTTGCATGCTCACCTGCACAGAGTGAACGCATCGTCAATGAGATTGGCTCGATCAGCGGCGCTGAACATTGTGTGATTTGTTTTTAAAAGCTTGATGAGTGAATGCCACATCTCCTCTTCATACATCACCCTGTAGAAGCCTGACTGATTGGTGTTTGCCTTTATCCACTTGATGTCTGGATCAACATCAAAACTTACTGAAATTGGAACAGCAGTCAGCATTTTTGTTCGTGCAACCCTACCGAATTATTCTCATACCGTCGCTCATATTCATCCAAACATTGTGGATCGACTCACTATCATTACTCGTAATGAATGTTAGTGGAACATACCACTTATAATCATATTTGGACTTGGGCAATACGCTATCGTTTCCACTTTTAACCGATAAAAGGAACCTCTTTTGAGTGGCTAAAATCGTGCTTCCTTCTTTCGTCAACGAGATAAGCGGAAATCCCATTTGATGGGTCCAGGTTTCCATGATAGCCTAGATGGATTTAGACAACATTTACCTTGGAATGGAGATAAAGTTAGCGTAGCACTTACTTTTACATCTAGCGTATGATTGATGGTTTTACTGAAAGTGTTCCACAATTCTTTAGTTTCCGCTGTTGTATACTTGTAAGTAGAAAGATATTCATTAAGGCCATTTTGTAAAGAGTCTTCTTGTAAAAAATTTCTGAGCATATGTATAATCGCTGCTGCCTAAAAAGCAATATTGAGCAAATTAGTAAGATCTTGTCAATACAGCTCGAATATTTATCCACTTCACTATAAAAAGCTCTCGAGTTCATTTATGAATTCCTTAATCCGCGAAGGGCCACTTTCAATTTAATAAATAAGTTAAGTACCGTCTCTCATTAAAGGGCTGCCTGCAAAAAGGGGGAAATTCGTTTTCGAGCTCAAGTGTTTTCTTGGAAATGCTATTATTCTGGAAGAGAAGGTATATTGCTCCCCATTCCCGCCGCTCTTCTACTCTCGCTTTTTAAATTAAAAATTAAAATGTTTTGCAAATGGGCGGTGTAAGATATACTGCTGAAATGGCTTCTTTTAGACGTTGATAAATTTGCCAAAGGGGTGAAATGGAAATAAAATGGAAAGCTAGCAGTTCGTACCTACCTTGTTATAAGAAATAGTATCAAAAATAGTTTCAATTTCATAAGGGTCGTGTACGGCGACATTTATAGGATGACTACTGACTAATGCATCTAATGCCATGGCAGGCTGTGTTTTGTCTAGAATGAATTGATCCAGCATCTGCCATTCTGGATAATAATTCTCTACTCCTAAATATTGTAAATACGTGGTAAACCCTTCATATAGCCACAAATCACTCCACCATTTCATTGTTACCAAGTTTCCAAACCACTGAAATAGTCACATTCATCAAGGCAATTGACTTCAAACTCTCAGGTATTACCTGATGGATAATCTGATGGGTGATAGTGGTGGTGATCCATTGATCTATGGAAGTGGAAAGCTCTCCAGGGTTATTTACTGCGGTTGATTCCCGATAGGTTATCAAGCCCCAATTCTCCATTGCGTCTTTAGACAAATTGGGAATGGAAACCAAATCTGGAAACAAGTGTCTATAGTGATTTTAGGCTAGTGATTAGGCTATAGTGATTTTCAAAATACACATTTTAACAGAGTCATTAACATAATCGGAAGAAACGAACGCCTATTTCTGAAGTAAACATCTCGGTTCGAAACAACAGGACTTGTCTAATATTCGGCTAATGTCCTGATTAAACAACTCGGTTTAGAGCAGGATTATCCTATAGGGTAATATTTAGTTTCAGCACCCTTCCGTTGATTTCCCAGGTCGATAAACCCTATGGGCTTTATTCGCATTTAGGGGAAACGCCGTATTCGAAATAACCGGAACTGAAGAAAGTGCAGGTATTGGAGTAAGCTTCAGTAATACGAATGGAAGGTTTGGAATAAAAATTGATCCAATGTGTGAAGGACAATAAAACTAGATAAAAACCAGAGGGAATAAAATGAATAATCAGATTTGTAAATAACACAAATGAAATGAATGCTCGCTTATACATCTCTCTATCATTTCATACACTTTGTGTTTCATTTCTAAAGCAGAGGGACAATGATTAATAACTCTATAAGGTGTCACTTAAGCATTCCTGCGAGAGACAGGGCATTGTAATGTGACATGAAATCGATCCTTTAGATTTATGTTCACCTGCAATGCGATTTTATTTCGACAATTTCATAGCATTAATCCGGAAATGTACTTCTCTTATTGGAACGCATTGGAATAAACGTGTATTTCATATTCAATAAACTGGTAAAAATCAGGACTCTCCGCGATTTTGATAAAACCTTTAGAGTCTTTAGAAGCAAGTGTATTCTAAAGATGGGTAAAATTTCAAATTGCTGCTTGATTTAGTTTGGAAGCGGGGAATTTTTAAAGGAGAGAGCGCAGTTGAGAAAAAGCATCAATTTTGAGAGCGATGTTTACTAAATCGCCAAAAATCAGAATTCTTTGCCGATTTTTATGAAACTTTCAGCACCTTTATAAACGAGTGTTTTCTAAAAATGAAGAAAATTTCAAGTTGCTGCTTATTTTTGTTCGAAAAATGCGATTTTTAAAGGAGAGAGCGCAGTTGGGTAAATTATCCATTTTGAAAGCGATGTTTACTCAATCGCCAAAAATCAGAATTTTGGTCGAGTTTGATGAAGCTTTCAGTATCATTAGAATCGAGCATCCTTTACAGATGATTAAAATTTCTAATTGCTTCTAGCTGTAGCCTAGAAAATCCTAATTTTTAAACGAGACACCGCAGTTGGGAAAAAACATCTATATTGAGACCGATATTTACTAACTGGCAAAAATTTGGATCTTGAACGATTTTTATGAAACGATCCTCTAAATATGGAGGGCGCACATTTCAACTTGCTACTTGATTTAATTTGACAGATGCGAATTTTTAAAAGAAAGGGCGCAGTTGGGTTAAAACATCCATTTTGAGAGCGATGTTTACTAAATCGCCAAAAATCAGATTCTTTGCCGATTTTTATGAAACTTTCAGCATCTTTATAAACGAGTGTTTTCTAAAAATGAAGAAAATTTCAAGTTGCTGCTTATTTTTGTTCGAAAAATGCGATTTTTAAAGGAGAGAGTGCAGTGGGTTAAAATGCATCCATTTTGAGAGGAATGTTTACTACATCGCTTAAAATCAGGATTCTGGACAATTATTATAAAACTTTCAGCATCTTTTAAACCATGTGTCTGCTAAAGATGTGGAAAATTTCAACTTGCTACTTGATTTATTTTCAAAGATGCGATTTTTTAAAGGCAGAGCGCAGTTGGGTAAAAAATATTATTAAAGGCCAATATTTACTAAACCCGGTGAAATCAGGATACTATGTTTGTATGTATCAGCTAATGTTTATGGAACTTTCAAAATCTTTAGAATAAACTGTCTTCTAAAAATGGAGAAAATTTAAATTAGCTAATTGATTTAGTTTGAAAGATGCGAATTTTTAGACGAGAGACCACAGTTGGGAAAAACATCTATTTTGAAGCCGACATTTACTAACCGCCAAAAATCAGGATCCTGAGCCATTTTTATGAAACTCGGCATTTTTCGAATCAAGTGTCTTCTAACTGTGGAGAGAGAACATTTCAACTTGCGACTTTATTTTATTTGAGAGATGCGAATTTTTAAAAGAAGGAGCGCAGTTGGGTAAAACATTCATTTTGAGAGCGATATTTACTAAATCGCCAAAAATCAGAATTATATTCCGATTTTTATGAAACTTTCAGCATCTTTAGAGTGTTTTCTAAAAATGAACAAAATTTCAAGTTGTTGCTTCTTTTTGTTCGAAAGATACGATTTTCTAAAGGGGAGAGCGCAGTGGGGTAAAATTCAACCATTCTGAGAGCGATGTTTACTAAATTGCTAAAAATCAGGATTCCGGTCGATTTTTAACACCAAATGCCTTCTAAAGATGGGGAAAATTTTAAGTTGCTGCTTGGTTCGGTTTGGAAGATGTGATTTTTTTAACAAGAGKGCGCAGTTGKGTAAAAAAATATTATTAAAGGCCAATATTTACYAAASCGGCKAAAATCAGGATKSWSGSYAATRTTTATGAAACTTTCACAGTCTTTAGAATAAACTTTCTTTCTTTCAGCATCATTARAATGAAGTGTCTTTTCAAGATKATGAAAATTTCATAAATATTGGCCAGCATCCTGRTTKTAACCGGTRTAGTAAATATAGACCTTAAATAATATGTTTTTACCTAACTGCGCTCCCTCMGAAAAAATWCGCATCTTTCAARCTGAGTCCATTAGCTAATTTAATTTTTTTCCATCTTTAGAAGACAGTTTATTCTAAAGATTCTGAACGTTTCATAAACTTTGGCCAGTATGCTGATTTTGGCCGGTTTAGTAAATATCGGCCTTAAATAATATGTTTTTACACAACTGCGCTCTCTCCTTAAAAATGCACACCTTTTGAACTTAATCAATTAGCTAATTGACATTTTCGCTATCTCTAGAAGACATTTTATTTTAAATAATCTGATAGTTTCATAAAAATCGGCCAAATTGTTAATTTTTGCCGGTTTATTAAACATAGCTCTCAAAATGGAGGTTTTACGCAACTGCGCTCCATCTTTAAAAAATCGCATCTTCCGAACTAAATTACGCAGCAAGGTGAAATTTTCTCCATCTTTAGAATATGCCTGATTGTAAAGATGCTGAAAGTTTTGTGAAAATCGGCCAGGATTCTGATTTTTGGCGATTTAGTAAACATCGCTCTCAAAATGGATGTTTTAACCCAACTGCGCTCTTTCTTTCAAAAATTCGCATCGGTCAAATTAAATCAAGTAGCAAGTTGAAATGTGCGCCCTCCATATTTAGAGGATCGTTTCATAAAAATCGTTCAAGATCCAAATTTTTGCCAGTTCGTAAATATCGGCCTCAAAATAGATGTTTTTTCCCAACTGCGGTGTCTCGTTTAAAAATTAGGATTTTCTAGGCTACAGCTAGAARCAATTAGAAATTTTAATCATCTGTAAAGGATGCTCGATTCTAATGATACTGAAAGCTTCATCAAACTCGACCAGRATTCTGATTTTTGGCGATTGAGTAAACATCGCTTTCAAAATGGATAATTTACCAACTGCGYTCTCTCCTTTAACTAAATCAAGCAGCAACTTGAAATTATCTCCCTCTTTAGAATACATTTGATTTTCAAGATGCTGAGAGTTTTATCGAAATCGCCCATACGCCTGATTTCTTCCAGTAAATATGGAGTTTCCGTTTATTCCATTCCGTTCCAATAATTTAAGTACATTTCCGGATTAATGCTATGAAATTGTGGAAATAAAATCGCGTTGCAGGTAAACATAAATATAACGAATCGATTTTATGTCACAATCCCCTGTCTCTCGCAGGAATGCTTAAGTGACATCTTATAGAGTTATTAATCATTGTGCCTCTGCTTTAGAAATGAAGCACAATGTGTATGGAATGATAGAGGTATAAGCGAACATTCATTTCATTTTCGTTATTTACAAACCTTATTATTCATTTCATTCCCTCCAGTTTCATTTAGTTTTATTACTCGTTCTTCACGTTTAGAATGAAGTGTTTTTAAAGATGATGAAAATTTAGGAAAAAGTTGAATTAGTTAGATTAGAAAAGACTTACCTAATTTTGGCAAAGGGTATGGCACTCCGAAGAAGTCTTCGAAATAGCCCAAAGCAGAAGTGGCAGTGTCCAGGGTAAATTTGGCTTTTTCATTAAACGAAGGAGGAGTATAAACGGACACTGACACTCCTCGGTCGGTTAGATTCCTGAAATTCGTATAATCACACACGATAAACGCCACTAAATATGTACTCATTTCCGCTGTTTCTTGAAAATCATCCCTCAACTAAAAACGAAAACTGTAACACACACGAAATGAGCCAGAGATTGCGGCACTCACCAAACCAGTTCCCATATAAAATCCTAAATCATCCGTATTAACAACCGGGGTGTTAAAAAGGGCAATATGAAATCTATCCCTGAAAATAGTCAATTTAAATTTGGCTTTAAAATTCGGCTCGTCGAAACATGGGAATGCAGTTCGTGCAAAAGTCGGCTGGAAATGCGTTGCCGCTAAAAATCTGAAATAAAACGTAATTTCAAAAACCCATTGTTGAGAAAAAAATTATTTTATGCCGAAATGACAAAGCTCTGAAAAAATCCAGGCCAATAAATTCCTTCGTCACCTTCGTCAATAAAAAGGCACTAATGATGAAAGCGTTCAGAATGTAAAAGATAAGGGTGCGATAAATGACCCGAGAACCCTACTGATTAGATTAATATATTCCGGAACACGAACTGTGTTTTCCTATGAGCCCATTTTCCGAGTTCATAGTTTTTGAAGGCAATTTGGACGAGCATTAGAGCCGAAAACTAAAACGTTTTCCTTTAACATTGCGATTTTCCTGCCTTTACGCGGACCCTAAAACCATCCAATTCTATCGATTACTTCCCTGTTTGAGCAGGAGAGCAGAAATTTAGGGAATCTCGTTACTGACGTGCCCTACGGAAATTAGCTTTTAGCAGCTTATATTGAAGGTCGGGCAAACCAGTAGACAGTGCATAACTCAATTTGGGATCCCTCAAATGGAAAGAGGAATTCGAAAAATTGACTTTAATAATCACTAATTTATTTTGTGGAGAAATTTTCCCTTCAAAGACCCCAGATAATTAGATTGGGATGCAAAAAATGCTTGATCGTTATACGTGTTTTACAGTGCAGACCCTTTGGAAAGCAAAATCAATAAATTGGCTGTGGAACTGCTTGGAAACTTCGGGCGAGTTAAAGGCTCCAAAAAAGCAAATAAGAACTTTCAAGACTCCGAACATTAGCAGACAAGCACAGCAAATTTTGATGAAAGTAAACGTGAAGGCATGCTGGTAGCTGTTTGATCTGGGAATCTGGGGAAAAAGCGGCAGTAAAATGAGGACTCACCGAAGCGAAATAAAAAAAAACACGTTCAACGTAAATTGGTCTAAAAGCATTAACATATTATAGTAAGCTCACCGTTTTTCGCCATCTGAACCAACATAGCTTGAAATATAAAATCCCTCTTGCGCTTTATTCAATTTAGTGTTGAATCTGATTTTCAGTGTATAGTTGTGTTTCTTCTTAAATTTTTCTTTAATTTCTATGTACAACTGTTGTCTCCCAATGTACTCTAACATTTTGACAATCGTCAAATTATGCCCTCTTCTATCCTGAATTATTTTATCTACGATCGTCATATTATGACTATGCAACACTATAAAATTAGTGTCTTTATCGCAATGAAATTCAATCGATATTTGCCCTGAGGAAAAAAATCCAAGATATTTAGTCAGATTTAAGTGCGATGTGCAAAAACTTACCCCTCACTTCTAAGGTGGTAATATTGGGATGGATAGTTATGTTATATCTAGAAGGTTTCAAGGTGGTAGGAAGACGAACATTGTTCCAAGGGAAGATTTGGCCATTTGTTGCTCTGGGAATGAAAGTTCTTGTCAGGTTTGTTTCGCCACCCACGTAATTTGGCGGTTTTTCACCGGCACATGTGCAGTCTGTAAACAATGCTTTTTACAAAAGTATATCAATTATTTGCATAATAACTCAATACCAAAAAAACACTTAGTTCAAATTGTTCTAGATTAGAAGCTTGTGGATAATTAAATTTTACTGCAAGAATCCGCTGACGGTTCAAACCAAAATTATTTTCATATTGTAGTCGTTTACTCGCTACTAAGTCTAACTTCAACTAAATTAGACCCGCTTATATCAAAGGATCTTGATTATCTTGCCTTCTTGGGCAAATTTCTCAGGGGACTACTGAATTCTAAATTACTTCTTACTTTGACAAAGGTAATCAAAGTTTGGACTCTAAAAGATAATTTTATGAGTTTCTACTCTCTGAGTCAAATAATTGGGTTTGAATATAATTTGTGTTTTAAATTATTATAAATTATTCAACGGGGAAATTTTCATCTGGAAACATCCAACTTTTCCCTAATCACCCCTTTTTCGCTTTCAGCAGGAGGATAACAATAGCGAAGCTTTTCTTCCACTTCATACACATCTACAAGCTGATAAAGGGTGGCTTTGTAATAATTCGGGTACAACGTTACTGTTTAACTCCATTCTCTTGATTAATCTTCAGTTAACATGGTATAGAAAAACGCAATTTGCGCTCAAGTGCCCCCGCTTATGAACTTACACTTCTTGCATAAATGAGTGAGCGAAGGGGTCTTTAACGGGTGGCAGATCTGCATTTTTGAACTGAAACTTTATTAGCGCTGTGAAAAACAGCTCTTAACATCTAAAGAAGTGCAGGCTTAGTCTGCAGTTTGTTGACACCAATTCGGCTGCTTTGGCTGTATGTAGGACAAATCGTTATTCAGATTTTTCCTTTACATAAAGAGCTTTTTTTGGAGTTTTTCCGATGTCTACCGCAAATTGTAATTGAATAGTTTCCAACATCGGGGGTTAATTGATCAATGAAGGTGATACTTGATCAGAGGATACATAAATATCATTAAGTTGGAGTTTCGTAATTTTCTCAAAAAACTGGTGATTTTTAGGGCTCTTAGACCATGGCGCTTGCATCTTCTGAAGTTGTTGCGAGCAAACCACCTTTGAAGATGTAAGCCACTCATGCTAGCGAAACGTCAGGAATTAATTAGTTTTCACGCCAAAAGCCCGAAAACCCTACCAGTTTTAAGGCAATGGCTGCGAAAGCCCAACTCTTTTGATCGCATCAAACCACCGTATTTGCATCACATAAGGTGCGAATTGAGCTAATAACAGAACAGTTAATTAAATATGAGTCCTTAATTTAACACATTTAATTCCTGGAAAAGCCCAAAAAGCTAAATGTTTTCCGCTGTTAACGAAATTAGTCAAGAGCGACTAATATGGTTTCATTAGAGACATTTAATTCAATTTAATGTAAATCAGCTACAGTTTAGCGAAGCTCCTCAATAATTGCACACTGATAACAAAAATTAAACGCTATTTACCTTAGGGGAAGACCGGAATGTCAATTAAGAGATACAAATTTACCATTCTAATAAATTATTCAGCAGCTTCAGCAACCAAATTTGAGCAAACTACATCAAAAACTTCCGCAAACTTTCCGCAAGTAAATTTGACGTTGAAACGTGAGAGATTCAGGATAAACAATGCTGCAAAACTTTCGGAAATTGTATTTCCAGAAGTAGGTTTCAATAAATAAATTTACATTATTATATGCCCTGTTGGTTGTTTGTGCTTGGTTTATTCACGACTGTTTTGGTTGCAATTTGAGGTCAGGAATTATACAAATAGGAAAAAAACGCATAAGGGAAGATTTAATTTAATGTAATTAGTGTATTAAATTCGATGAAGAAATAGTGTTTTTTTGAATTGAAGAAACTTTTCATTGATGAAGTGTGGCGACGCCTGTTCTTTTCTTATATGAAAGGTAAATAGACCTTCGCTTTCGGTAGTATTCTTATCATAACGCAAATTTTACTTTCTGGAAATTCGAGCCAAGTCGGAATACTGATCATAAAGCACACGCGGCCTGCGAGTTCGCAGTCCACTGGAGACATAAAAATGGAAATTCATATATTGAGTTTCTGTGACATAATTTAGGAAAATACTGCTGAACTTGGCTTGTATTTTCGTTTCTCCGCCCTAAAACCCCATTTAAACTTAGGAAACCGTAGATAGTAACTACTCGATGTGTAAATGCTATCAAAGGTGGTGATTAATTTTTAATAGGATAATTCCTGAACTTTTAAGCGAGGCAAATAACTCGACGCTAGTTGCTACAGTTAAGTGTTTTTTGTCTCACTTTAAAATTTAATATTCAGCCCAGTTTAATTATTAAACCCTCGAGCCACTCGTTTAGCTGCTTCAGAATTACCCGAGGGATAAACGAAGCAATGTTTCATTATACAGGGTGTCCCACCAGGAACTACCGCGATCTTGATATGGCAAAGGATAAATTTGAAAATTGGACAGTAGACTGAAGTCACTAATTTTTAAGCGCAATAATTTACAAATTTCAGGATTTGGCGCGATTGAAATGGAATTTTGTGGGATTATAGATTCAACCAATCACTCTAGGCTGTGAAAATTTGAAGTGCATATCTGCTTTATGTTAAGAGTCACTAATTGTTAAACGTAACCATGCATTTTTGTTAAAACCGTAAATTTTGGTACACATTTTGCAAGATTATCAAAAATCAGGGTTCGGTGCAATTGGAATGAAATTTTGTGCGTTTATAGACTCAACTATTCACTCTCGGCTGTAAAAATTTCAAGTGGCTGCCTGCTGTATATTGAAAGTCACCAATTGTTAAACGTAACATACATTTTTGTCAAAACCGTCATTTTCTATGCAGACTTTGAAAAGTTATCAAAAATCAGAATTCGCTGTGCTTGGATTGAAATTTTACAGATTTATGGCTTCAACTCTTCTCACTAGACGGTGAAAATTACCAGGCACTGCCTGCTTTAGGTTCAAAGTTGCGAATTTTTAAACGCAACCATGGATTTTTGGAAAACCATCTTTTTCGTCCAGATTTTACAAAGTTATAAAAAAATCAGGATTCAGTGAGATTGGAATCAAATTTTGTGTGTTTATAGGCTCAATGATTGGCCCTCGACTGCGCAAATTTCAAGTCGATATCTGCTTTATGTTGAAAGTTACAAGTTTTTAAACGCAACCATGCATTTTTGTCAAAACTAGCAATTTAATGCATTAGATGCGATTGGAATGAAATTTGCAGGGCTTAGCTTGTAGATGCAGCTGTTTTCTCAAGACTATGAAAATTTGATCTCAATGCTTGACCTAGGTTGAAAATTACGAATTTTTAAATCAAACTTGGTAGTTGCGGAAAAACCGTCTTTTTGGTGTAGATTTTGAAACGTTGCTAAAAATCAGGATTCGGGGAGTCTTGAGGAAAGTTTCTTTACTTCAAGTTTCCACTATTAGACCTGAGTAACTCAGTGAATTTTTAGGAGTTGGCGCAGTGCTACGCAAATTACTTGGTGCGCCAACTCAACGCACCGAAGCAGCAACTCACTTCCGTTGCTGAGAAAATGTTGCCTTTTTTTAACTTGTTTTAGAATTATTTTAACGGCCATTTATTAATAACATTTTTAAAAAATGTCTTCAAATCTTTTAGCAAGTTACTTTTTCTTCTAAATGCTCAATTTCACTTAAAAATGCTGACAATCTTAAGATATATTCCGCGAAAAATTATGAAATAAACTTCGAATCCTTCCTCGCTTTGTAAGACGTTTTGAAATCCCCTTCTAGCTTCGAATTTGGAACAAAAATAAAATAATTTTCTATCAAAAAACGAACAGAATAAGCGAAAGTTTATAACATATTATTAGGGAAGTCTCGTCATCTCCATAGCTCTGAAGGCTGTACGAGTTTCTTAAAAAATTTGTGGTTTTTTAGTTTTGACTGAATTCACATTCAATTCACTTTCTGCTCAAAAACTCTCTATTTTGTAGAGTTTTACTTAAAAATACTGACGATCTGAAGGTCCTTTACCCGAAAAATTACAAGATAAATTTAAAGCTTAGTCAAAATTTTACGAAATCTAAAAAAAAAATGTTTTCTGCAAAACCGATCACAAAACTAAAAGTTTTTAATAGAAAACGCAAAAAGTCGCATTATTTTTTAGTTTTACTTAAAATACTGACAATCTTTAGGTATTTTCTGTAAAAAATTATAAGATACATTTTATTTATTTAGAGATTTTAACACTCGCCTCCTTGACCGCTAAGAAAAAAATAACCGCTTGAAAAACTTTTTGCAGCTTCGAATTATGGATAAAACCGTAATCATTATTTCTGGGGGTTTTTCCAAAAATATTTCCCCGAACTGAGAAAGCGAAAGTTTATCATTTATTTGGAAAACTCTTTGTAACTGGGGTTTCTTCACTTTTAGGTCAATATTTCTAAACAACCAAAAGTCTCTAAACGGCGTGTTTCTTAACATTTTACTGTGAAATACTGACAAACTGAATCTTTTATGCAAAAAATTAAGTGATCGATTTTACAAGAATTTTACAGGAAAACTCGTCGACTTTCTTTGGACTCAGTGCTGTTGCAGCGAAAATGTAGATGACTTTTTTTAGTTGTTTGAACAAAGTAGTAAAACGTTACTCAGAAAAAATGTTGATGACCTTTTTTAGTTGTGAAAATTCCAGTCTCAGCTCTCGTAAGGCTTTAATAAATGAATATAACTCATTAACCGATGAGTTATAATTCGTTAACTCAGAGAGCGGCAACAACTCAATAGCGCAACGCAACACAGTGTTACTCAGAAGGTTTTTACTTGCGCTGATTAAATGTTGCGATTTTTAAAAAGCTGGCTTGCCGGCGAAAATCACGATTTGAAGCGATCGGTTTGAAATTTTCACCGTTTTTAGAATAAATTGCGTACATTTCAGGTTCTACGTTGTTTCTCAATGAAAAATTTCCCAAAACGACTGAGATTAGAGCATTGCATGCAAAGCACTTTTTTGGAAGTTTGCAATTTCCTCAGTGGCGTAAAAGTTAGGGTGAAAAAAATCCAAAATCGCACATCAACTCAAAAAAGGAAAAAGTCAACTTATCGTTTCAATCCGCTGTAAATACTGGTAATAGAATTGTGTAGAAAAGTTCAGCGTTGTTGAGATCCCGAAGAAAAACTACGAAAAAATCAACTTTTGATGTCTGCTTTAGTTTGAGTTACCCTGTATATCTAAAACTAACCGGATTCATTGTATTGCAATTATTAGCCTAACCGGGGAAAATTGGTGCAATTTTTAGCGATTCTACCTATTTTTAAAAAATTGCTATCATTTGACCCTTCCACGAACGGAGCTGCCTAAAGCTGAAAGGGGATACTGTCGATATTTTCCCAAGAATATACTGCGATTAGACTGAAATCGGCTAGGGAGTAGGAAAGTTTTATTAGGAGTTCGCAACTTCCGAGGGTGCAACTCTGAGTTTCATGATAGTATAATACTTCTTTCGAATCGCCCAGTTAATCTTCAAGATTTTTGGCCAAATTGAACAGCGATTTTATAGAGAATATGGGAAATTGGGGTAAATATCAACTTTGGATGGAGTGATTGAATCGAACATAGTTTTAGAAGTTTAGGTAGAATTTTAGATAATGCTCAAAGCGGTCTTTCAATCCAACGACTCCAGCAAAAAATGAATTGACTGATGAAATTGATCAATTGGACCGGAAGGAAAAATGTGCAGTTCAACTACGAACAGAATAAATCAATTGACGCATCAAATAATGTTCCAGGTTCATAAAAGTAGGCGAAAGAGCAGGAATATATGTGAAATAAAGCATTGATGCATGAGGTTTATTTGTGTCGGTGAACTATGGAATACATAGCGTGAACATTTTGCGCTAGAGCTAATTCCCCACACAAAAGAGCTTTTGTAGGTTGTCGTCATTATGTAGCAATATGGTTTTGCTGATAGAGCTGTAATTAGTTCGGAGCTTGCAGCAAAATTTAATCCATGATTATTGGGGGGTTTTAATGAATTATTCCGCAATCAACTTGAACTAAATTTGCAATGTAGATACTTACCACTTTGGGGTCCAGTGAATGCGATGATAATGGCGATAGTAAAAAGAAGGGCAAATACGATAGTGGCAATACAGAGAGCCCTGTTGTGGCTGCACGCAGCCACCCCATTATTTTCATAAAGGGTCTTCTTTTGGGGCTGACCTGTAGGGCTATCAGTTCCTGCAACACCGCCTGTGTCACAGGGATTATGTATAAGAGGAGATGATTGGCAGATGGAGTGGGTGATTTGAGCATGATTTGTACCTGTAAGAAACGCAACATCATCAACATCCTGATCGCTCATCACTCTATGGTCCCGACGCCAGACTACTGCTTCAACGTGCTCCAGTCCTGTGACGACTGAAACTTTTACGAAAGCGTCGCGATTTGAATTTCGGCCCTCCACACTAAATTTTTTTACCAAAACTCACTTTTCACACGGATGGACACTGGGCTCTAATCAAACACTAACCGATTCGCAATGAATCCTCTCAGATTAAACCTAGCCTATGCTACTACATGCTACTCTACTTCTCCTGATTGAAACTTGAACACGACTATTGGTCGGGATGCGTTGCTATAAAATTTATTTTGATATTTTCGATTGTACTATACGTAATATTTTGTGTCAGTGTTTTACGGACGTTTCTGATCTTTTATTCTGATGGGGTCGACTGTGAAACTGTAGTCTTTTTCGGCGCGGTAATGGAACCCTGCGCCCTCTAAGAAGAATTGCGCACGCCGAGTTTCCCGCGCGTAGGGACTTTCCTCCTCACTGTAGAGCGGCGCGTAGAATTTTCTCTAAATTCCCTAAAAGCTCTATTTTTTACAGCAAAAGCCGCCAATAAGGTCTGCCTTCTTTGCAACTAAATAACACTAGGCATTTGCTGCTGATAAAATTCTGTAGAGTTCCCGGAGGGTCAGAAGGAAAAGACACATTTCACGTGCGTGTTTATTTAGCAAACTCTAACAGTCTCTTCAATTTTCCCCCGCTAATTAAACTACGCTAATTAAGCCGTTAATAAGTTAAATGATTAACCATGAACCTACTAACTAGGTGCTAGCCTAGGGAAGAAAAAATTGAAATCACTGGTACCCACCTTGCGATTTAACATTGCCATTTTGGGTTTGTTTAAATTTTCCCAAAGGTTCTAGTCGAATGACGTCTCGGGTTGATGAGGCTGTGTTTGACTGCATATCGGTAATAAAATACTGATTGATGGATGATCAACGAGTCATAGTATTTCAAGTCTACTGTTAGCAACTATGGAAGATTCTAATAACTATGTTGCCCTTATTCTGCCATATGAATATTTTATGAGTCTACTGTAAACAACTACGAGTCGACAAAATAAGTTCAGAACAAGGCATGCTAGGTTCTACCTGTTGATAATCTTTGAGCGACACTTAGGCACACATTCACTAGGTATATGTAATCGTATTTAACGTTTTTACGCACAATGTGAGTGTCAGGACACGTTTAAACTTAGTTGCGCTTGAACCGATTTTTTCACTTGGAGGATTATCACTGAAAGTTCTCCCTAGTCACATGGGGTTAGAACGTAGCTACATATTGATTTTCCATTTAGACGGCAAGCGGTCTACCCTTAGCATTCACTCCCTGTCTATGACGCGGTTGGCGGCACCCCATAATTTTCATTTACAGGTTCGTGCATCGCTTTTCCCCATGTGAAACTTTATTGATCTTGCCAATTTGCGCGCATGTCTTCAGCGTTGTTTCCTCCAACTGGGGGGAAAGTTTTTGAATAAATTTTACCCAAACTTTTCTCTTCAATATAAAACTCCAGATCACTATCTATATACAACTTATTTTCTATATACCCAACGTTTAAGCCAAGGGCATTTTTGATTGAAATTTTCCAAAAACTTTAAATCGCTTCTTTCATTTTGAGGTAAAACTCTTGATTCATATCTATTTGCAATCTCTCATTTATTCGCAAAATATTAATGACCATAAGAAGCCATTTTTGAGGATGCAACTAAGTACATAATCAATCATCCAAATTGGTTGATATTCAACATGCGGTAACGCAATGGAATTTGGCGAAAAACGCGTTTTCCTTTCCTTTCTTTACAAAACCAAACTCAGAGATCAGTGTCCATTTATCGCCTATTTTTTATATTTTATATACCACCCGTTTAAGCTGGGGCATTTTTGATCGAAATCGACCAAAACCGTTGCGCCACACTTTTTCCTGGAGAAACATTTTTTGGTGCAGAAATGTTCAACATGGTTAGACGCAATTAATTTTTTCCCAAAAACGATGTTCTTGCTGCTTTTTTTGCAAAATAAAAATCATGATAAGCGTCTTTTTGATTAAATTTTACCAAATCGTTGCTTCTCTCCAAGATAAAGCTTTAAATCCGGCTCTATATGTATTTAGAAAATATTAATAATCACAAGAAGTAAATAATTAACGAGATTTTGAAACTTTTGCATCCAACACTTAACTCGTCCACTCTATAAAAGTTCTACACATTTTTTTCGATTATTTTACGCAAACGTTTGCTTCCCACCGGACAAATTTCACTCAAATAAAACAGAGTAAAATCGGTTGAACTATTTATTAGTTATTAAAAAAACACATAATGCACATTTGATTAAATTAATATCAGTAGCATGAGATTCCTAACTATTTACACTCGACTAGAACATGTTTTGCTCTCATCAAATGATAATGGTGTCATTGTTTATATATACACGTGTAATACAGAGTTAAACTGGTCAACTAATATTGCATGAGAGCTTTTTAAGACAAGATAATGGTTCCTGTTATTCTACTTGCTACATTTATTACGTTTTCGCATTACAGAAATCTATTGAACATTGATCTATGTTTGTCGCGGCCGTAATTATTACACGCGACACAGAAGGAACTATAACCTTGCCTTACATATACAACTTAGTTGTTAACCTAATTATTACTTAAGCTTGCTTTTAAACAGCTAATCGACTTAAAACTTTGATTATTCGATATCAACTGCTCAGTAAAATGCAGTTGAATAAAGCGCCTAACCGTCAACAAAACGTTATCAGTGTTAAATGTTTTTTTAATGACTATAATGATTTATTAATTTGAATATTTTATAATACAGTTGTATGCAAACCCAAACGGCATTGGAAAACTTTTAAGTTTTAATTACAGTTATTGAAAATGAACTTCAATAAATTTTGGTAATAGAAAAAGTAAACATATTTGCCGATTGGGGTACAACTGAACCAGTCTATCCAGTAACTCTCTTAAACGGAAGACTCCATAAAAGCTTTATCTATAAAAGTACTGTTTGAGGCATTCTAAATTCTATGCGGGTTTAATAGCAAAGCAAATTCTAATTTGAAAACGATGCAGACGAATTAGACGAAGATAAAGACATCAAATTAATATATGACACGTGATATAATTTTTAACCCTTAAGTAGGAGCGATTGTGCGTAACCGCTAGCTCTTCGCTTAAACGCTAACGAAAAACCAACGATTTAGATATAAACAGATTAGATTTTCTTATTACTTTAGCAAAGTACTACTGAATAAAATTTGTTTTTATTTTAAATTAATTGTGTCCGTCTAATTAAGGGCTAATATTCGAGACTAAATTAAGGTGAAATCAGCAATAATCTCACCAATAACCTTTATTATACTTTTGTACAAAAAATAGCAGTATATTTTGGTGTTTGCCTTAAAATCATGGGATATATTTTGAAAATAGTGCAGGAACATTAATTTATATTATACAAATGCGTATTCTACATAAACGGCTTCTTTGTGTGAAAACATTTCATTAAGTTTTTAACGCTTCAATCTATGTTCTCACATATGACTTTTAATGCTAACTAAACAAATGACTAGTGCAAAAGAAAAATCTGTAAAAGGAAAACGTGTTTAAAAAGTCAAGCTATTAGCATTGAACTTGTATAGTGTTCATAAGTTCTATCAACTGCAGCTTTTTGTATTCCAAGGCATTACAGGAATTTTTAACCATTGGCAATTTAATTATTAATGCTATTTGGAATCGCAAAATTTTATACTTTAGACAGTACCTACGAAGCTATTGCATAGGTCCTGAAAATCAGACAATTTCACAACTCTTTTATTAACTGCTTTCGATACAATTTTCCAATACGACTTCGAAGCTCATACGGGATGGACACTATGTAGGTTTTGGCATTGTAAACAGACAACGAGAAACAGTTACGGCGCCCCCTGATAAACAGGAATGAGTTACGATTCATGCATTGAATACACAGCTTTCCATAGATAAAATTGTTTACAAATAACCTTTTTTTAACAAATAGTCGGTCGTTACGAGTAATGAATATTCTGTTTACGATTCATTGCGATGGGAATAAATGGCACAATTTATATAAAAATAGCTTGCGAGTTGAAACGACTTTAAGTACTTTGCAAGCTGCGTATTGTATTTTGCTGTGTATTTATCAATCCTAGTTTACAAGTAGCACGAGAACATATTAGTAGGAAAAAGCCAAGCGCCAGTTGTACAATTTAGCAAGGCAGTTTTTGCGTATATGCAAAAATTAAGCACATAATCCGATTGAAAATTGTTAAAATAAACAAATTCTATGAATTCGAGTAAATTTTACATTAAATATTTAAAAAACCCCAAGTACTCTTACGGTATCTACGGTTTCAATCACATATTTATTCTAAGAATAAGACATTTAATCTGTATAAGTACGGTTTACAACAATCGCGGTTAAATCAGAAAACGAACTTATAAGAGTATTTGGTAAAAACAAGACTTTGATAAGCTGATGAGTATAGATGAATTGTCCAAGCTTTATTCGAAATGAAGTAATAAAAACAAGTTGTACAACTGTGCATAAATGCTATTATCAGTTTATACATGGCATGGATTATACCTCTGTGGACTTTGGTGCAAGACTACTTCCACTGGTGTGACGCTTATTGAACAAACTACCCAAAAATCCTTGATGGTGATGAACTCCTGGTTTCATTTGCTTTCCTGCCAGCTTGTCCGATCTGGAACAAGTACTGGCCGAGGTCGACTGGAAAGAAACCGACATCCCACTATCTAATGATCCCACGCTTCCACGCCTTTGGACCTTGTCTCCTGCAACTACATTAAAATCAGTAATTTATATACAGAGCATTCCAGAACAAAATAGAGACAGAATTTCAATTCTTTTCATAGCCCCCAGGCTCTTACAGAAAGGCATTGAGAGTCGTTTTTTAATAATTGACATAATTAAACGATTAACACCCGGAATGCGAAAAGACGTTCTATAACGAATTTATCCTACTAGTTTTCCCAAATACTTTAGGAGAAGGCGGCTGTTTTAAATGTTTAAAACCTGATACGATTTTTCATATTCTATCCGAATCAAAAGATTGCCCACTTATTCTGGGACAACGTGAGTACGAATTTAATTTTGCAATTAAACCACGAGCCAATCAAGTGTTAAGTAGTTAAATTATAAAATCTGGTTTGACTAGCTGACTTACATTGCTCATGTATGTCCAGTAGAGAATTACTTAATGCAGATCTCTTAATTTGCGTTTCATGTGTCACTTCATCGGAGCAATTTTCCGATTGTCCCTGTGCCGCGTTCTGAGAGCATGGGCATTGGTGGCATGGATACACTTCTACATCTGCAACACCACTATCTCTATTTTCCGTTCCTAGAACATATTCGTAGGATAATAACGAATTCACAAGAATTCTAGCCAAGACTAATTACAAATAATCAGTATAGCACTTTAAACTGAATATAAGGTAATAGAATTTAAGGTATAATGCGCCGTGGCTGGCTTGAAAAAAGAATAATCTGGAAGTCCAATTTTAATAAAGCCAGTTCCATGACCTTAAAAATATCCTTTAAGCTGGATTTATAAACTCTGCTGTTGGTGCCGTTCGAGAAAGAAATTCCAACGTCGGCAACTGCGAACTGCACAATATAAATCATGAAAACGCTACGGCAACGGTATGGCAACTGCACGAACGACGAACGGAACGAACTGCAGAGTTTATAAAGCCAGCTTTAGTCCCTCAACATCTAATCGTAAAATGCGGCAAATGTTAAAGCACCTACAGAAAATAAAAAATAGTCCAGACTAGATCTTGCCTACAAACTACACTAAGCAATAGTGTTCTATAGCATGACCTATAAGTGAAAGTAGTGCAATTCGAATAATTACCAGATCTGTTTCCTCTATTAGATTTCTGCCTCTCCAGTTCAGCTTCGATTCTTAAATTTTCCATTTCGTCCATCTCACTTACAGCTTCTTTCAAGTCTTCGGCAAATTTGCATCTGTCATGTTCATTCCTAGCATTAAATGTGACTAAAACCTTTTGATCCACTCTTTGACTAAGCTTAATGCCGTATGGGTAATCTGGAATTGGAAAAACATTATAAATTGATGCTCAAAAAAACGGAAGGAAACAGTTTGATTTTTCTTAGTGGTAGCAGTAAAAGAATACTTACGTTGAACTTCAAATAATGTAACAACCATTCCACACAAAGGGTAACTATTCCTAAACGTATAAGTAACTGAGGATTTCTTCTTGCTTAATATTTTGGTGATAACTAGAAGGTCATTGAACAAAAACACTTCTCTTTGGTGAACGCCGGGTCTTTCCTTCTTGTTAACATCAGGTATTTCGTATAACCGACAGTAACAAACTAATCTTCGATGTGGCAATGCCATGTTGGGCTTTTTGCCTACAATTGTGGCCTGGACTTTCATTACTTGCGTGACGTGATCAGATCCAGGTTTAAATTCATTTGCCTTTACTCTTTCATAGATGCCAGTTAATATATCACTGTCAATATCACCACAATCGTCAATTCCGCGTAAGTTCTTAATGAAGTCGTCGATTTTCATTCTTCTTTCGGGCTTAATGTTTGGAGTATGTAAGTCAGTGTTGAGCATTATTATTGCAAATGCTAAGACAAAAATCTGCAACAAATATTGCCATAAGAAACAAGAACATAGTTTTTGTTAATGCACTTACAGTATCTGGTGAACGCAACCTTGCTACTACGTCGACATTGCATTGGCAGTATCTCTGAGAAAACACCTCCATCAGTCGTTCGATTTTCTGCGCTTCGCCAGGCATACGGAAATGCTGTTGGAATTTGCGCAATGCCACATCCACTTGCATTCCAGATAAATCGAGCTCTGAGGCAAAACATTCCAAAACGGCCATGCAGAATGGATTTTGCAAATTTCCGAGATATTCTCCAATCATTTGCTTGCTCAAACCTTTCCGAGATATTAAGAATCGAGCAACTCCTTGAGGGGAGTTGTCCAAAAATCCTCTTCGGATCAAATATGCCACTCCCTTTTCTGGCTTTTTATTGAAGAGATTGAGTCCGACGCGGTATTGTCGTTTTCGGATGGTTTCTGAGATTTTATAGCTCTGTGGACCTTGAGGATCAGACGTTCGCTCTACTAGTGTGTAAGTGGAGGAGCTTGCGTTTGAAATATTGCCCAGACTGGTTTCCAAAGTGGGTTCTGCGTATTCTGAGCCATGGTTACCCTTTCTCTTCCAGACCGGAGAGCCGGAAAACTCACATTGAATCCTCTCCGTGGAAATACTACTATCGCTACCTAAAGTTCATACCAGATAGACGTTAGTAATGGGATTGGTTTGCGTAATGCGCGAATATTACCTGAACTTTGAACACTAGACAGTGAACCATTCTCCGCCGTTTTGGACAAACCATTGGACTTATGTCTACCTTGTTCAATGGATCGGGAAGTAATGCTGGACGTTCTCTTTGGTACTTCTGGTGGGACTTTTCGGCTGCTTAAGCTGCTACGCGCTCGAACATATCCATTTGAAGACGTGGTTGGTGTGCTACAGGAACTCGGACTACCAGTTACATGTGATCCCATAGATTCTGACTTTATATCAGCTGGGGAATAGTAATGTTGAAGAGAAGAAGTCGAAGAGTAGTTCTCCCAACAGCCTGACGGTGTTCCCGACTGGCTTCTAGGAATTGGCATGCTATCAACATTTCGCCTTTCCCGCAATGACATTGACCTAACGGGAAGCATTCTCATATTGTTGTAATCATGCCCTTCAAAACTGGTTCGCATATATTCGGAACATTGCTGATCTGACGCATCTCCAGAACACTTGTTTTCTTCATTTGGTAACCTTCGACTGATGCGCTTCTCGGCTTTGGCCATCGCAGTAATTGCCGCAAACTTTTTAAGTAACGTGTATCTCCGAAATGCTCTTTGTATAGTAAGTGCTGCATTCCGTGCCTTAACTCCTCCATATTTTCGTTCTAGTACTTCTATTTGCTTATCTAGTATGTCTTGTGAAAGTTCGTAGCTGAAATGAAGACAACCACTTGATCATTCACATATTTGCGATTGCATTTTTTCCAAATACAAAATCACCATCCAAACACTGTTTTGGATAATGGTTTAGAGAGAATGTGCTTTCTGAGAATCTGGTTGTAGGAAAAAATTGTTTGGCAAAGTTACACTTTTACTGTAATTATTTTAACAACCTGAACTTACGTAATCTATGAAATAAATCATATTACATACTTTCACTTCGATATAAGTCAAGCCACGATAAATTGCTGTTAATCAAGCAGGAAATATCAACGTTTCGTTATAGAAAAAGGCAATTTTTGACTTTCATTGTGGCAGAACTCGCAAAAAAAGCGGGGCCATTGAGCGTTGTTTATAATTAAAGATATTTAAAATCATATGTAGGCTGCGATTTAGATAAATCACAAAGCACTGGTATTTAACACAGATTTATAAATTAAATCGATGCGATTGTCGTTATCTCATTAGCAGTTCAGTCCATCAATCACGCACCAAACCCGAACATTTAAAACTGTTATGCTAATTGTTAACTGTACCATACTGCTTATTTATCTCAAATGTAAGATAGCAAGTCATGTTAATTTTAAAAATACATTGGTATTATTAACACTTACGTGGTTTGCACTCGTGATCTCTTCAAAACGTCCCCGTTTCTTAGCGACCCCTTTTTATGTAAGGGCTGGACGACTGAAACGTACGTTGAATTGTTGGGGGACGGTCTGCAATAAACCGGGCTTGCTGCTGGGGTGCCGTAATTTTGATTCTGTGCGAAACTTGGTGCTTGTATATAAGTTTGTTCTTGAATATGATCTGATGAACCAAGCGAATTTGCCACTTGCGATCTTTCCATTTTGGGGGGAAAGCTGAAACAAGAGCACAATTTTGATAACAGCCAACACATGTTTAATGAAGGTGCAAACACGTTACACTAGCACAATGACTGGTAATTGGCTGAATTGACACTAAACGTAACACCTTATTTCATTCTGCATAAGCAAAGTTCATGATGGCTCGAGGAATTCAAATATAGATTACCTGTTATGGTATATTTATTTCTCAGTAGATATTAATTCGAATAATCATAACAATCGAAAACCGTAGATAATGTAAAAAGGTTGAATTATTTTAGATTTTATCAGTTGTGTGTCTTAAATCTTACTGGTGATTTTTCATCAGCATATCCGGTTGCAAATATTGAAAAAGAAAATTGTGAACGAACAATCTCAACTAATACAGCAATTTATGTTGAAACTATCAGTGCGCTCTTTACTTGAAACTCGCGTGCACCAATTGCGTAAATATTGCAGATGAACTGCAGCAGGAAGTGGCATTAATTTTCCCGACTGCGAAATCCATCAATAAAAATAAAAAATAATATTCCTCTGAAAATACTACCATTTTCGACGTTCTTAAGCACTTTCTTGTTTGGATAAGTATTCGCGTTTATTGCTAATGGTTAACCATAAAACAAACGAAATAATTCGCAACAACTGTTAGCTGATTCAGTAACATGTGCTGTATCTGGAACTTTGTACCAAATTAATTTAATATCCATTTTTTCACGACGTTTCGAGTCGAACGAATTCATCCTCAAAACTTAACCTAGGGAATTTTCAATGAGTAATTCTATTGTGTGAAATATTATTGAAATTCTCGTCGGAGCCGGATACTAAATGAATTTTAAACAGTGTGAAACGAAAGCTGTAAAAACATTCTCAAGAACACATAAAATAAATGTGTCCCATTTAACCGTTCAAGATGGTAAAACGTCTTGACAACATTTGCATTGTGGAATATTTTCCATGAATATATAATTTGTTGAATGAAAGTATGGATTTTTCCAGTTCCAGTAATCGAAGGTGTGCCTGATCGCTAAATATAAAAAATACACCGCTGCCACAAAATCCTTTATTTATCTGTTTGACCATGTTAGGAAAGGTCTGATCCTCCGCATTTAAGCTCAATGACCGGCAAAATCCCATAAACGCCGTTTTATATTATTGGGCCAATAAATATATTGGATTTGCCTGATATATACGATTTAGCGGATATTTTTAAACTCTTCTGTAAGACATTAAATTTTTCGGCTTCCCAATATCCTCTGCATGCAGTGGAAGTAGAGCAAACACGCACACTATTTAGTGAATATTATTACAGACATGAGAATTGTCGCAGACAGCAAAAAGGAAACATTTGCAATAAACTTTAATTAAATGTTGACCTTTGCCCAATCACCTTGAATCACTTAAATTCACTAAACTAACTGATCATCTATTACTGGACGGTTGTCGTCAAACCAAGCGAGACACTTTAACAATTATATTTAATTCATCAACTATCTTTTCTTACACAATTTCTACTATATAGAGGGTAACACAAGTACAAATCCATACTGTATGAGCGTTGAAAGTGAATGTTATCTACTTACGGAGTTCCCACCAAAAATCCCGATATACAAATAATCATGTTGAAACTTCAGACACAAATACCAGGCACGAATCGAGGTGAATTTTTCAAAACAACCCAAGTGCTCCCTAAGGAAGCAGCTGCAAAACTGATCCAATACCGAGGACCCAGAACCCAAAAACAAGATGGTAAAATGGTACTAAATCACAGGTAGTGAGTGAAAAGAAAAAGACGGAAAACAGATAAGGTGGAGCAGCTGTTCAATTTGACGGGCATGAAAATCATTATGTATACCGTCCTTGTCTGTATATAGCCAAAAACCATCAGGTGTTCATCTCTTTATTGGATTTTTTTCGTTGGTTGCCCCACCTTTTAACTCCTCATAAACAGGGAGCAGAAAATACCGTATAGAAGTTGATGGCCGAACAAAATTTGTTCCACTGAAAAGAGGAAAGGAAGGAACTTGCCTAATTCAAAGCCGCATAATAATACGCAAATACGCATAAAATACGCAAATACCTACATTTAGGAGAGTTGCAATCAAATTCTAGTTACCAGTAAATCATTATCTTCAAAGCTGACTTAACCGGATTCTATTTCTGCCTTTTACAAACATGCGGTTTCGATTATTTACAAATGCACTACTTAAAACGCCAATCAGGTGGAATGAAAGTAAATAAAATAAGAGCAAAACAGTAAACAGTTTTTAAGACCTCGTGAGCAGAAGGAAACCAGAAAGTGCTCCATCCTGTAAATGACTCGAGATATTTGGTAATAATATCCGAAACCCTCCACATCTGCCACATGCCGTCGAGATGTTGGGAACCACCTGCCTTCTGCCCTTCTCCCCACTTGTGATTTCGATTTCTTATGGCACGTTCCTATATGAATTTTGATTATTTTCAAACCGGAATTCGACTGCCACCTAAAATGGTAACGTCAGGCATCCGAAGACCAAACAGAGTGAAATTTAACCATTTCTGCATCAAGCCACTATCAACAATCACAAGTAGATCTATTGTTAAAATTAGATCGTAACGGTGGCAGATTTTCTTCAATTTAACGCATTTCTAAATCATCCAACAGAATACTGAACGACGGGGAAATTCTGAAAGAGACCAGAAATTCGCCAAGACAACTGAGCTTCCTGATACTGTCTTTGACTGGCTGAATGGTTGAATATAAAACACAACACATATATTAAACAGAAATATTTCTGATATTAAATATAAGGTATTTAACAAGGAGCTTTTGGATTTTTATAACCGTGCTCCCAAATAGTAAAAAAATTGTCATTTGAAAACGCAGCGTTTCAATATTGTTTCAAAGCCTCCAGACATATCCGGAAGTCCTGAAAGAGTCTGACGACTGGAAATTGGGGTCATAAACTTGTTGCATTGACAAAAAACAACCCGGGGAGAAAACAGGCTGTAGACTTGACAAAATAACACCGACAAGTAGAAACTGAAAATGCACGTAATTTTTTCCTTCTATGGCGTACGAGAATCGTGACTAATAACATTTAACGACAACTTCTTTCACTTTACACAATTGGCGTATTGTAAACAGCGTCGTGAGAACAAGTAACCATATTTTTTTGCTAAGTGTTACTTTGAAGCAAAGGAAGTCAGTTTACCTTTGTATCTGACCTGATATTTCACAGATGTGCATTGGGCGCTTCCATAGCTTTTTCAACTTTAGAAAGGACTGCGCCAATTTATCAACACGTTCACAAATATGTACAAAAATTATGTTTCTATATCCACACTAGATGTTGTGGCTGTAGGCGGTCGTGGAATACAATTTCTTCCCGACGTTTCGCAAACGCGAGCTGCTGCCATTTTCAGCAGTGGCTTGCTCGCAAGCTTGCTTGAACCGATACTTCAGCGATGGAAAAAAATTCGGGAATAAATTCATTCAAGGACTGGTTTTCGACTCAATTTACTGTTTGCCCTGTAGCAATTAGGATCAATAAGAAATAGCGATAACTGGCATAAATTCTGTTTGTAATTAGGCATATTGCAAACTTGTCGTGTCCGAGGCACAGTTTAATAATTCTATTCAACTACACAGATACTTTTAATGCTTAATAAAGTCAAACCGACCTAATTTTCTGCACTGAATAATTTATACCTGAAAGAAACAGTTGCCTTTACTTAAACAGGTTGTAATTCAAATGGCTTTACTAGCACCGCAGAAGTATTAGATGGCATGTACATGTTCCATGCTGGTACAATAAGTGACAAACTAACAGTCACCCAGATAAGTATAATGGATGTGTATGTGTATGTAGGTCAAATGCAACACTAATTCCCCAAGCTTAACGTACCTTAGCTTTCCAAAATTAAATAATACTTAGGGCCGTATGAGACTTAGTTGCCGTAACATGTGAAGAAATACGGTCAAGTATAATAAGACTTATGATTAATTAAGTGGTTGTGTGGTATGGTGTGTAACCATTATACGTTTAAGGCTGATAATGAAATCGATATCCACCTAACGAGCTTTGTGTGAATCCTGATTTATTAACGGCAAAACACTTTTTTTAACAAACTGTGTGTTTTTTATTTACGAGACACTTTGTCACTTTAGTGGTATTTTAATTTCAATTTTATTGAATCGTCGCCAATTTCTATAAATAGCGTTTCTATTTTAAAACGGTTTCGAGGGCTTTTATGGAATTATTCAATGCAACGCAACCGTACAGGGAAAATCGACCAAATACAACATTGACGGAATTATCCAGTTTTTCAAATTCCGCTATCCGGTTTCATAAACATTGGAAATCCGATTAATAAAACAAGCCTATGTGTTTGGAAACTTTCACCATTGGCAAACGATTACCTCAAAATGTAAATAAAATGCGAAATTGTGGGGCCAAGAAATATTTGAGCAGACGATGCTTACAACATAAATCGTACTGTGTCGGCCTAACCTGAATATACAAGGTGATTCGTTGAAATTGCAGGCTCAATACTCAAAAATTCGATTTTTCTTGAAAGTGTATTTGAAACTTGACCGGGTGACCAACTAATAAATTTGTTAATTGCATTTTCCATCAGAAAAAGAATCAATAAATTGCCAGCCGAATCAACCCATTCAACCAATCATACCAATTTCTCCGAGACGATAATCTACGAGTATATGAATGAACAAACACTGATTACAGCAATATTCAATAACAGCTGTAAAAGATACTTTGAAGAAAACTGTGTGATTTATTTTTTAATTCGAATTCTTCTAGTTCAATTAATGAGTAACACTAATTAGTTGATAGATCATCATTGGTCTAAAACCGACAGTATTTTAAAGTAGTAAACAATAAAGTTTCTGCCCGTTTATTGCTATCAAATTTAATAAATTAATGACTTAATAATAGCTACCATAATACCATTATTAAATGGTCAGCACAGTTGGAAACAACAGTTACTTACTGATGTTTACTAATAACACAATCTTAATATTTATGAAAGGCTGCCCATTATATTTTCTTCTGCCCTGCTTAACATTTCGCTCTACTAATCGCTGAAATAATGTAATAAATAAGAAACGATAAAATACACTTAAGGCACCATGCTTAAAACGGTTTGCTTCAATTACAAAATAAAATACAGACCAAACAGACACTGAAATAATGGTTTTTACATACTTTGGTCATCAATCATTAAACATTTTGATGATATTAAAAAGTGGCACATTTAGAAATTCCTGAATGCCTACGGACATAGCTTAAGTAAACTAGGCTTAATAGTTTAATTAAAATACTACAAAATATGTGTGCATTATATATATTTCATAAAATGTGGCGAAGTGAGGAAGCGGAAGCAGGAATTAATTTTCCATCTGGCATAAATATTGTATCGGACACACAAATCTTCAACATAAAAATTTTTCTAAACTAACGTATAAATTGTGCTTGCACTACACTGATATTGTCTAGGTAAGTGTGGAACACCTGCCTACAGAAAAGCGACTTTCTATAAATACATGTCATTAAAATAAGTAAATGAGGAAGTGATGCTCAGAAAATAGGACAGCAGCGATGATTTATAACAAGATTAAGTAAATACAACCAGTTTTGCCGTAAACAAAATGCATTTATTTTTATTGCTGAGACAAAGGAGAGCTGGACGTTTGGAATTGATCCAAATGTGACATGAGTTGTGAAAGCAACCGGATAACAAGCTTGTTCTGATCCATGTCGGTCCCAAACGCCAAGAGGTAGATAGTACATTTACTTACAAAATTTGTACAATTTTCAATACGTCGAGTTTGAGGTTGTTAATTAAAGGGCACCAAAAACACATAACTTTTCAGAAAATCGAATAATTAATGACATGACAACTAAAACACAATTAAAGCATCACTAGCTTACATTCGCTGAACTGGCTTAAAGCCAGCATGTTTGGAAAGGCTGGAAGCCAAATGGATGTTGGTTGTTTAGAAAAATTGGAAATAAACGCTTATCAATGCGAACACTTCTACATATTTTTGCCAGTGATATTCATAATGGTGCAAGGAAAAGGTTTCAATGTGGGCGCCGTAACGACCAAAATGTGCAAATTTGAAGAACAGCCTTAATTGAGGTGAATACACCGACGCACTTACCGATACTGGTGTTAAAAATAACTGTAATCATGTATCTTTGCACTCCAAACTCGAACATCCAATACATATAAACATTTTCTATATTTCAACATATTTAGCTTTGCTAAACTATTTGTATATATACAAAAAACATTTAAATATAAAGCGTGTAAATGCAGAAATGTGGCATTTACGGGAAAATGGAAAGTTTGTCTTGAATTTTATTGCGGTGTAGGTGTTTGAGTGATAACAATGCTGGGCTTAACTTCCGCTGCATAGTTATAATCCGCCATATAAATTTTGCATTAATAAATTTCATAACCGTACGCGCTAGCCAACGCCACAAAATACAGGTAAATTTAAATATATCAATGTGAAAAATATTTTATTAGTAAACCCGGCTGGTGCAAAAGTGTTTTTGGTTGAATCTCTAAGCTCCGCCCCCAGGGCCAGTTTCGAACCTTTTAACTAAAAGGTCGCCCCCAAATGACATTTCTGTACTTTCAAGAGGTGTGATGTGTGAATTGCATGCTGAGATAACGAGAACGAAAAGGTTTAAAACCGGTTTTGGGGGCGGGGCTTGCGGCCGACACCAACCAATCAACTTTAGAACACAGATATTTTTTTCCTGTCACCACACTCATATTTTTAATGATTCGTGATTATCTCTTTATGATAGGCCTGGGCAACACTGTGTTGAGTTGTGTTGAGTTATAACTCATCGCGCCTCATTGTGCTTGTGGCGGAATAATTCTTGAAATCAGAACTTTTAAAGGACATTAGTTGAAATTTTTTCGCGGTTTTTTGCTTAGTCAATATTTTTAGAAAAACGAAATTAATTCGTTTATTAATTTTAGTTTTGGCGTTGTGCATTAATCACTGCAACTGAGTGAAATTATTTGAAAAAAATAAATTAGTGAAAGATCGGCGATTGGGGCGTTTTTCGTTTAGTTGTTGTTCACTTTCGTTAAGTTGCAACAGGCACTTTCTACAAAAATGTCAACAATAAACAAACTGAAATCGAATTACCAAGTAAAGCGTGAATCATCGAAAGGGCGAACAATTAAATTATTAAATAATCATGCTTATTCTGTAGTTCGGTGTCTTTTTTCTTTTTCTAGAAAAATTGTATGAATGTTCAGTTTGCTACCGACAGCAGACGAAATAAGTCAATAATCGCATTCTTAGATGGAAATACAGAATCATTGTGGCCCTTATGGCAAGTGCGGTAGTTTGTGAAAGTATAGTGAACTTCTTGGGGTATTAATTGGTAGGAAATGGAGGATGGAGTGCCAGCTTACAAAAAGCTGGTAAGAATGGTCTCTAATCTATAAACTTTTTAGCTTCAACTGAGATTAGTTTTCCGACAAGCATTTGTATTTTTACATCAAGCTCATCTGGAGCTTGTCTCCAAAGAACTGTTTCAGATATGTAAATATGAGTTCTAGTTTTATGTTTATTGTTAAAAGAGTCAATACTGTCAGTTTTGGATATTTTTTTAATGGCAAAATCGACTGAAACATGACGCCGCCTTTTTAGACGTTGCTCAAGGACCATTTGGGCCACGGAGTTCGTTTTTATATCATTGGACAGAGAATTGGCAACTCGATTCAGTTATAACAACGTGCGTGAGTAAACTCTGCTGGATATGTCACAAAAGTCACAGGAAATTTGAATATCAGATATTTAGGTGCAAGTTTACGCCTTCTGCTACAGAATGTCAATCTTTCAAGTTTCTACTGGCTTGACTTTGGAAGTTGGAATTTTTCAATGAAAAGTATGCAGTTGCGTGAAAGCCATCATTTTCAAATCAACATTTATGAAAAGCGCAAAATTCAGGACTTTATGATGAACTTTTGAAGAAAGTTTGGCGACATTTGGAGTTCACTCTTCTTTACCTACTGAAGACACAACTCTCAACCGGTGCGTTGGGTTGGCGCAACAGACCATTAGGGTAACACTGTGCAAACTCCTGAAATTTACTGAGTTATCCATGCCTAGTTTATGATCTACTATTGTTGTCTAATCTATGGGGACTTAAGAAGCATGTCATAATCGTAAAATGAACACATCGACTGCAATAATACTGGCTTAACTGTTAGTCAGGGTAAGTGATATTAAAGCCTTAGATGTGAGTTCAACAAATCCAAAGGATTAGTATGTGTATTTACTTGAAAACAATGATAGTTGGATGCGTCAAAATGCATTGATTGATCACCCAACCTTGATTTGTGCGATTGAAAATTAAAATATGCTTTTTTTTATATTTTCCCCAGAATAAACCTTGTAATGTTTGCAGCTTTTCCTTCGTCAAAATTCGAGAAATTTGTATCTGTGCTAGGGGTGGTTGGAAATGCGCTTCTAATGTCTCTTGTCACTAACAGTACCTACTCGATCAACAGCATATAAACCCAATGGCAGGGTTTATTTTTTATATATATAGAACTAAATATTCCAGTGTTGTAAATATTTCAAGCGTGTAAAGCAGACGCTTGATTTAAAGTTGTTTGCTTACAAATCTTCAAGTGGATGTTAGTATAGACTTAACATGAATTTGAAATGGTCTAACCTGACAACTGTAACATGTTTTCTGAATGGTGGTAACGGTTGGCAAACATCTGAGACGGTCACTAGTCGGCTAACATGTTGTCTTCTAGTGGTGCACACTACTCGAATACGTTCATGCCGAAATCCCGATCTTCTAACGCGTACCACTGTTCGATCACACACATCGTTCAAAGAAGTGATGGTGGTACCACTTTTTGAAGGACTCAGATGTCTATTTCGCGAGTCCCCTTGTAGGAAATTGCCCGAATAGACACTATTTGCCGATGACAAAGACGACGAGCTTGTTAAATGACTACGCATTATAACTCAGCTCTTAGTTTCTAATTTAAAAAAACCACACTATTTATGGTAGAAACACATTTTATCCGTTGGCAACCCAACCCTAGATGGAAAATGGAAAACACATTATAATTGGAAAATGAACAATTCTTGTAGTGGCTGAATTTTATATAGCGCATTATCCTAAATGGGTATTATTTAAATGGCACTCGGTGCCTACCATTTCAGGTACTGGATTGTTTATCTGCAATTTCTCTTTCAGTGCATGTATTAAATAAGAATGATGTCCACCCGCTGGAAATTAAATTGGACACTTTCTCTCGCAATTTTTACACTTTCAATTTAAGCATTTTATTCCCTTCTGCACAGTTAATTAACCAATTATTGACCTGGTGATCACTGAGGCATTGAAAATCGCCACATGATTTAAAGCTCAGTAAATGCGGCTATTTGCAAAGTCCCTCCACGGAAATCATCAGATTTACACTATTGGAATTAAGTTGAAATCAATTATAAAACCAAAATATAATTATGGGAATTGACTCGAACACTTCAGTTTTTGCGAAATAAAGGAACAGAAACGAAAGGAAAGGAAGAAATATTCGTTCAGCTTTTAATTGCAAGGTCCTAGATAAGTAATCGCATTGACAAAGCAAATATAACAATACCCGCACAATCTGCATGATCTGATATAAAATACAATACCTGCTCAAAAATTCGGGAAGTGAAAGAAATACATGTTAGATAATATTCACTTGCAAAATGTTAAAATTCAGACCGTTTTTGCGTCATATGAACAGTTAATAACATTTTCATTATTACCTTAAGCGTGGCAAATGACCGGCAATATCGAGGTTAATTTGGTTGAAACAGCACTTGTTATGATGGTAACACATGAAATACCGGGAAACAACTTCGATGGGCGGATTATTCGGTTTGTATTAAATATCCCAAAAATATAAAGTGCATATCCACCGGGCATTCAAAATGAAATTGGCATGAGGTTCTGACGCATAACACCGTTACTCCATTATTATTGAAATTGTGGCACTTCCGAGCATTAAGTCGAGAAACCATCGCCTACGAGGCTAGAGTATTAATATCGAGGTTAATACATTCATGGAGTACATCCATATTGACTACTAATAACAAAGACACAGTTGAGTATTTAATCGTCCAAGCCCAACCACCATACGACTTTTGCTTCTGAGGCAAATTTCCAAACGATTGTATAAGAAACTTGTGACAACGCGCAATTCTTATTTAGTTCTGGATTTTCAAGCGTATCTACTACAACACAATGCCATAGTTGACAAGCTAAATTACGACATATGTTTGCATCACTGGTTAAAAGGTTTGCAGGAAGTCAAATAAGTGAGAATGTTGACATAGCACAAGAAAATTCACATAGATCTGATCTAAAGCTAGTTTATGCTATTGAAATTGCACCTGCAACTTAATTAATCCAACACATAATGGTACCTTTGTGCGATCTTTGAAGCAGAAGATCTGAAATTCATGTAAGACGATCACCATAAACTGCAAAATAGAAACTTTCTATTAAATCTCAGTAGGAATGCTTGCGAGCAAAGCGGGATGATCAAAACTGAAATGTTTCCTTGCAAACTAAACGCATTGGCAAATAATAAGTGTTTTTCACAGCTTTTCGAAAAATGATTGCAATATGGTAAAATGAATTGCCGGTCCATCTCTTGGGCCACCCCGTGTACATCAAGAAGCCGAAATATGCAACGCAACACTGTCATAGAACTAAATATAAAAACAAGGTTTTAATAACACTTTACTTGAAGATGATGAAAGATTTGAGTCAATTAGGTGCCGCGAGCGTCCAAATAGTTTTGGCAATTAAACGATTATATGTTAACATGTTCAGGAAACATCAACCTTATTTAAGCTACTTTACCGTTTCCGGTTTTCGCCAACATTCTATTAAATATTGAAATTAACCAACCGAATTTCCACCAGTCTGAATCACTCGGAAAAAAAAACTCAAATCAATTAAGCAAATAATCCGAAGCTTAGCCAAAATCACCAAAATTAATGGGTTTCGACTGCTGATCTAAAGAATAACCGTTATTAGTTTGATTTAACCATGGAACCCGTTACTTTACTTTCATTTTCTGTATCAAATTTACCTTCCTTATAGCAATATGATACTACTGGCCTATAAAGCATTTGCGGTTAGAACAAAATTTACCTTATAAACACCAAACATTTGCGACTACCTAATGTGACCACCAGGAAAATGCTTGGGGGTTTTGATTGTCTAAGACGCAAAATTGAAATATGTAATTGCTCCACATTTTGATGACATCGAAGGCGAATAAACATGTTGGTTTTAATGTTATTGTCTATATTAATTTCACTTTACTTTGCTTTTAAAACCCAAATTTGCTTGGGAAATAGCTTAAATTGCACGGTTGTCGATTTACTAAACTGGGTTTTCAAAACATAAAAATATGATTCGTAAGTATGAAAGTAAAGCTAGAAGTGCCATGTTCGTGTATGGATTTTAGCATCTTCAAACGAAAATTTTAAAATCAAATACCGAGCGATAGGAAGACATGTTTTATGTACTTTATGGCGATAATTAAATTTAGCCACTAAAGCAAATGTTCAACTTTCATTTCTATGTTAGGAAAGGGTGCAAAACAATACAGTCAACATTGGATGATTTGGTGGTACGGTTAAAACCAAATGAACTATGCCTAGAAGTAACCACTTCGAGCGACTACAAATGCTCTACAAGGTAAAGCATTTTTCTTAGCTCGAAGTCAAGAACATTGCACATTTATTGCATAGTTAACCGCCATTTTCAGCAATGAATTTAATTAACACCTTTCCAATTTGGCATATGGTAGGTAAAGCAATAATTGCACTTATGCTTCAATGTCACTTTTATTGCAAAACTCAAGAACAATGTTTCGATCCAAAAAAATTCGAGCAACAAACGATCTGAATTCCGTCAAATGTAAAGTTGGAATCACACGCGATATATTTAGATATAGAAATAAGAACTTCACTAGTAAATCACTCGCTAAGACGTACGATCGCCCGCCAAGTTAATCCTTGGATTACATCATAGATTTATTTTCTATTAACCAAGAGCTCGCGCACCTATCGCTTTCGACGTAATACTAACTTACTGAAGTCGGTACCATGGAGTGTGGACGGTGCTAGGCGTAGGAGAAGGATGACGCGTTCGATTCATTTGTTAAAACAGCAAATAACAACATTTATCGACTACAGTGTGGGTGCACAATCCACAATTAACACAACCCGCTAAAAGGCTTCAAAAAAGTCAGCTCGACGAAACCCGCAAAATTTGTACAAAACCTCCTGCAATCAATATGAAGAGCCACTCATACATAAACAGGCGAATAATCCGATAGGCTCAAGAAACGATAAGCTCTCGCTTCGCGCTCCCACACACAGTTTCGTATTGTCTTCCAAAAAAGCACCTGCAAATGTGACTTAAAATTACTTTAGAGGCATTGTGAACCTTCCAAAAGTGTGCAGGAAAACATAGGGAGGAAGACGAATCGAAAGCGAATCGTTGCAATTGTGTTGGTTCAATAACCGCAACTTCCTATCCAGATCCGTTTTTCGCACGGACCATATTGGTATTTTCTCTATGTAGAGAGCAGGATTCAAATGTCCCAAAAAGGCTAAAATGATGGAATGCAATAGGGGTCACTGAGTTAAACCTGTTCAAAAAATTAATCAAGAATCTATAAATAAACTAATTGATTATGTGGACCTTAACCTGACGGTAGCTTTGAAAATAAGCAATCTTAGGTCCAGAATGGAATGGCACGTTTTAACAATGGTATTAATTACAATAATCAAGTTAGTAAGAAATTGGAAAAATTGTTCAGACAATGGCAAACACCTGTTTCCATGTTCGAGATCTAGTAACTACCCAAGAATTTAAGGAACAGTGGCAATACTCATTTGTGTTAAGTGAATCAGACTGATGACGAACTGTGCAAACATGGTTGAAGATTCAACCTATCCTCCATATCAGAAACTCCTTTTAAACCAATTGCTTAAAAATAGAAAAAAATCGTTCAGAAGTAGGAAACGAGAAGCCAAATTGGGTTTAATCAAGCCTCGATCTGATACTTGGGCATTTCTAGCGGAACCGCTCATAATCCTAAGTCGCTTTCCAAGTTCTATTCAACACTAAAGCTTCTTTAAAAGTACCAAACCACCTGTTGATCACTTATTACTATCTAAATTCTTAATTGCAATTACCGTAAATATTGCAAGATGCATTCCAATTTTACCTACAATCAGTCTATCATGTTCAGTCGACTATAAGTTGAACTTTTATCTTTAATTGCATTAGATGCAACATTGAAGTTTGACCTTCGAGCAAGATTCGTTCCCAACATCTGCTTGGAAATGGAAACAATTTATTATATTGAAAAATGTTTTTTCCACATTATACAACTGCATAACCATGCAACTACCATTTACTAATAACCCTGTAGATGTCCCAGCATTTTCTACATGATGGGCAAATGATGGAATAATAATTTATCTGATGGCATTAAAAAACATCCCAATTAAGCAAGTCCTTGCATATAAACGAGTTAGAGCCAAGTTAGTGAAACTATGACGCCAGATGTCGATTGGTCGCTTTATTCATAGTGCATGCATAATATTTGGGGCAATAAAAACAAACTGTATTAAGAGCCATCTGGTAAAATCACTGTCAAGGTTGAAAATACTTGAAGAAAATAAAACAAAGCTGGACGACAACCGGTAAGGTGTTACGTCGTAGCCTCAGGATATCCGTTCACTTTCCCTTATTTAGAAACCCATACACAATCCGAATATCGTTGGCAATACGGTATCGACAGTCTACCACAGTTATTCAAACAAATTAATTTGCAATTAAAAATTACTTTTCATACAAACTAACAAAAATGTTTCATATTGTTCACATGTGACTACATACTGAACCGGCGAATTTAATTGGAATCAATTGAATAATCTTGTAAAAATTCCGAATCGCGCTAAAATTTTAACGTATTTATTTAGCATTATGTAAATACTTTCAGAAACCAAAAATTTGATGTTCCGATGGCTTTCCATTGAAATGTATGGATTCAATAATATATATTCATCTACCGCTAAACACCGGAATAGACAATAAAAAATCTATTTTATATTGTCTTGAAATGCTCATCTAATTTTAATTGAAGGTAATGTGTGGAGGTCTGTGTTATGATTGCGCATTCACCGCAACAACACAACTGGGCATGTTAAATAGTGATAATTGCCAAGAGCAAGAACACATACAGTTACAGTGCAAATATTAATTGATTAAAACGCATGATCTAAAATACACTTGGTTGGAGATCTATATGCTTTAACGCAAACAAAAATTGCTGTTTGTAGCCGATTTTGACTTCAATAACGGTTTCATGTGATAAGATAAAGCGCAGCAGAACACGATTACTACAACTCTGAACGGTTTGAATATTTTTAAATTTGTAACTAATCCCATAAAAATATGTGTTCGGTTGATTGATTACGATATTTTCAATATGCCCTTCCTCTTACAACGTGTATTATTGGTTTCCTAGAAACACCCGAAAGAGAATATACGCCTTATGGTGTAATAGGTCCAAAAAGGGTGGAAGACCCGTCCAAAAACCACTGTAGGTCGTATGGTTTCACGAGTTACAATTACATGTTTTATGTTGGGGGCATAAGCACATGCGAGGGCACAACAGATGGCTGGTGTTTTCATTAGTTATAGAAACTAGTTTAAAAAGTTAATATCACCGGCTACGAAAATGACAAAATTATAACAATTTACTGGCCAAAAAGCGCGAAAAACTCACCAGTTTCAATACTGATCAAGTGAGGCTTTCGGAGCCAGGGATGGAAACTGGCTGGAAACTCGGGCTCGTGAGGCTGTCGTGCAAAAGGATTTATTCCTGACGTTTCGCCAGCAGAAGTGGCTTGCAACCTCACAGGGAGTTTACTCGACGCAACACTTTTAGGTGCAAGATTAAGCCAAAACTCCATGTTTTACGCCACTAAATTGCGCTTTTATGAAGTGTGTATTGAATGCTGGCAGTTGTAAAGAAAAAAAGCGAACATTTCAAGAAAACTTGCGCAGTTGCTTTTTAAAATGCAACATTTTGAAAAATTTGAGGACCATTTGAGCTGCATAGCCGTTTCCCTATCGTTCGAAAGAGAATTAAAAGCCCGATTCAGTACGGCACGTTTTCATACAAAAAGCGAAATTTGAATATCATCCATTTAAGTGCAAGATTAGGAAAAATTGAATATTTTACGCCACCTTTTTCCTCAATTCTCATAAAAATATTGAGCGGGGACGCTCATTTTTACACCACTGGATACAGCCCTAAATGGCGCTTTAACGCGGTGAAGCATCACTAGGGAAATGTTGACTGCAAATTGAATTCAACAGAGCAAATATGTATTGAATTGAAGACATCATAAACGTTTTAAATGAAAAAAGGTGCGACAAATTTGATGAACGTGGTTGAATAATGCATCAATAATGCTGTAGGCCACGTAATAACAAACCTAGACTCGTATAACGAGACTGGAAGTGTGAATTTGTGCCAAAATATATACGTGCGATTTCTGACAATAAGCATTGTTCGAGAACTTAAGACTGCATTGTCTTTGTTAGGTATAGCGTGGGTTGATTTAGGATTTGTAAAAAATTCCTGTCTAAAAATGTAATAAAAATTACTCTCGATTTACTGCCCCGAATTTTTCTCAGTAAAGACGCTATAAAGTGTGTAAATAGCTGCAAGTAAGTTAAGCCCATTTTAGGCAATCGGTTGGGGTCTATTTATACACGAAATGTATAAAGAGCGTTTATTTTAACACGTTACGAGCATAAACATCTCCCTTGGGCTTCCTTCATTAAGGTAACTAATTAATGCAGTCTGCTATAATTAAAAAACATATCATGCTTCCCCTAATTGTATAAAGTACGTCACTGTTTCAATTATTGGCAGACTAACATGTACTGATGATATTTACACCCACCAATTGACGCCTTGTAGATTTTGGGGAAAATACCCAAACGGTGAACAGTAGATGTTAATGCATGTACAATATGGTGGTATGAACTACGAGTTATACATACATTAGCATAGCGATACTGGCAAAAGATGATTAGCACATGAAAATTTACTTACTGAGAAATTTAGATATGGACGGGCAAAACCGAACTACAACTGAGTGAAATGATGTAATCAGTTCTAGTCATAAAAACCATTGTTACCAGGTCAAAGCTATTTGATGTCAATGAATTGACCTCCAGTTGGAGAAATGATTAAATAAATTATGTAAAAGTCAGCAGGAACATAGTGTTAAATTTAAATGAATATTAAATATAGGTAGGCACCTATTCAGGTTTTACCTGCATTGGTTGACAACTTACATTACCTACCTAGTCGAATAGAATTAATTGATTTGGAAACTCACAGTGCAGTGGGATCAATAAAAAGAGATTACTCCTTAGCAAAACATTTTAAATTTATAAATGACATGGTTGGCTGTTTGCGTAAATGTATGAGATATGCGTTGTTCAATTGAACAAATCTTGTTATTAACATTTAGCAGCAGACTTTGAGTTTGTAGCCTACGAAATATGAAAATGCCCCTCGGAAAGAATTACCAAAATAAACATCGCAGTGATCGAGAAGTTACCTATGTGATGAAGCAAAGCTAGAATATATGTACATGGCATGGCAATTTCTGAATGGAAATTGGATGAATTCGTTTAAATAAATGTTACCTTTCATCCTGGAGTCTTTTGAGCTCGACCATCTCCAGTTCAAATCTCAGGTTACTATTTTCACAGAGGAGAAGATCTCGTTCACTAGCAACCCCATCGAGTTCACGTTTCAATCGAATGATTTGTTCATTTTGTTCGCGAATAATGGCATCTCTTTGAGCCAAAAGAGCATTAATATCAATACTGGTTCCTGCCATTATACTACATACATAGCCCTCCTACTGTTGTTTTTTCCGGAGACTCGCAACGATTTTTTTACTGAACAGTTTACACTTTGCACTTTACATACTACATTGATACGAAACCCGTTCACTTAACGTCTTGTTACTCGGCGAAAATCATTTTTATTATCGTAGATAACATGTTAGACGAATGTCACCAAAACAATCATTATCAGCAACCTACATATAGCCCGCCATTATTATTGTTTAGGTGAGATGTGAGACTTGACTTGCCATCATTCGCATGACGTCATCCCTATACTTATTCTCCTTCAATGGAATACACATAGATGGCACCTATCAAGGAATATTGATTTAAACGGTGATTTCGTTTAACTGAACAATTTATGGTGAATTCGATTTTTCTGCAAATATCAGGTTTAGTCCTTCTTTCAGTTTCCTATCGTTAGATAAAGAACTAGAAACTCGATTCACTAAGTGCAACTTGAGTTGGAAAACTAGAGGATTTTACAGGAAACGCGAATTTGAATAGCACAGTTAGGTGCAAGATTACGCCAACATTTTATGTTTTTTGTCACCTTTTTGCACATTTATCAGCAGCAGATTGAGCTAGAGCCCTCATTTCTACACTACTTAATAGAGCACTAACTGGTGCTTTAATTCAGTAAAGCATGTTGGAAAATGTTGGCAGTTCTCACAGAAAAAGCCAACATTTCCAGGAAACTAGTTTTGCGCGGTTGTCTTTTAAGGTGCAAAATCGAATGACGCCTTTTTCAGCGTAGCTCAAGAACCATTTGAGCTACACAGCTCGTTTTTCCATCCTTGGAATGAAAATTGGAAGCCCCATGCAGTAAGAAAATCGCCAGTAAAGAAAGGGGGACAGTTTTCATACAAACAGCGAAATTTTAATATCGCACATTTAAGTGCGAGGTTCGGTCAAAATTTCATGCTTTTCTCCACCTTTTTGCTCATTTACTCAGGAGAAACAGGAGCGCTCATTTCCACATTAGAGGAACTGGCACTTTAATGCAGTAAAGGCCTGGAAATTACTATGTCTTAAGACACTTGTGTGTTAATTCCCTCTCGGCAGGAATTATTTATGTTATAAAGCCGCACGAACGAAAGGGCAACGAACGTAATAAGCAAAGATCTTTCTGATCGGATAATTAAAAGGTCAACAAGTACAGATCTCGAGTGTGTGGTTATGGGGTTTATGTCGACTAACGATATTTTTCTCTAATTTAATGGATAATTGAAGAAAATAAATACTTTGTATAATGGCAAACACTAACGCGAATGACACGCATATTATGAATAGTTTGCGGTTATTATAGTTATATGGCGCATCAGATCCTTCAGTATGAATAACTTAGTAACTCTCTTAATACGGGCCCGATTTGGATCATTGCAAATTCGTTCTAAAACGAGTGGTTTGGTCTAAAAATCGTATTTTTCAAACTTGAAATCAGTTGAAAATCTTGATCAGTTGGTCGAAAAGATTTTCAAGACAAATGTTATCAATGTTTTCTTTGTAGATTTAACGTCGATTTTCTTTTGGAAAAACAGCTTTTTGCATGTGGAATTTTTCTACGCAACTGTTAATATCGGGCCAATTTGAAACTGAAACTTCTAGCATGTTTTTCAATGAGTTTGATGCATTCCTCGCGTCCGTGAGCTGAAATTGATGTAAAAATTTAATACGTTTTGAGAAAATTTTTATTTTTTCAAAAGATCGACCAAAAATTAAAATTGCACATTCGTGTTTTTTGAGCTCAATCGATTCCCTTCGACGAAAGAAGGTCACAAATATGCATTATAAAGTGTTTGGGT